AAATAAAAACTAACTACAAATGAGTAGCCGATCAAGCCTCTGGGGCACCTCCATCTGCGGCTGGCTCTTCGGCCTCATCAGCTCCCTCATCGGCCTCAGTCTCCTGGCCGGCAGCGGCTGCAGCGCTGGTGGCATCGTCCAAGAAATCAAATTCAGTATAATCCGGCTCGCCAAGGCCGGAACTTTCAATGGGGGACTCGCGCTCCGACAGCGGAAACTTGGCCTGCTCTTCAGGATCCTTCATCAGCTTCGGAAGCTTCAGGTTCCGTGTAGCCCACCCAGACGTGTAGTTCATAGCCTTCAAAGCACGAGATAGCCGCCGACACAGGAGCCTTTGCATCCGCTCCTGGCCCATGTTATAATACACGGCCATCTCTCTGCTGAAATACTCCTGGCCGGCGGGGGAGTTCATCCCCCAACTCTCAAGCCTGGCGGCCACCACCTCGTAGCACCAGGGGAGCCTCTCATCGGCCTTCCACCCCTCGGCCAGGAACTTCTCAACGGCCTCATCAGCAGCCCTCACAACGGCGACCTCGGCCTCAGCCTTCGCCTTCACGGCCTCCTCGTTCTTGCGCCGCTCGGCCTCCAGCGCCCTTTGGGACTCCTCGAGCTCCCTTTTGCTCTCCTCGAACTTGGCCAGGGCATCGTCCCTGGCTGCAGCGGCTTCATCGGCCCTCGCCTGCAAAGCCCTGGCATCATCCCGGAGCCGATCCAGGCAAGCTACCGCCTCGTCGGCCGAGGCAGCCTTCTGATCCAGCTCCTTCAAGCGAGCTATCTCCCGGTACTGCCTTTTATGGCTCTCCATGAGCATAAAGGCACTCTGCAGAACAAGGGAAACAAAAGTCAGGGAAATGAATCTACACGGACGACGAAAAAAAAAACGACACATACGAAGGAAGGTAACTTACTTGGACGAGGAGGTCCATGCCGCCCTCGTAAATCTTTACGTCCCCGAGCTTCTTCAAGTAAGCCCGATCTTTGGCCGGCATGGCCTGGTCCAAGACGTCGTGGCCAAGGACGACATCATCAAACACACCCCCGCCGACGGGGTATTCTACCATCTTCTGGTAGGTGGCACCGGCAATCTCCTTGCCGGCCCTCTTCGTCCGTGGTTCCTGGACGAGAGGAAGCGATGGGGCAGCATCGGCAGCAGCAGTAAGGTCCACGACGGGACCACCATCGTCCACGCTGGGGACAGCCAGAATACCGGCCTCGGTAGCCGGAGAAGGGGAAGGTGCCCTCTTCGTCTTCTTGGAGACGTTCAGGCTGGCTTCAGTTAATTTTTTCTGGCCGTCAGTAGCTGGCCTTTTCTTCTTCGATGGGGTAGGCTTTGGGGCCGCACCAGCAGTAGCCCCGCTCCCCTCGGCCGCGGCACGTTTGGCTGTCTCAGCCGCCTTAGCAGCCAATTCCTCGGTCGCTTTGGCCTTTGCTATAGCCATGATAGACCGACGGTCCATGACAAAATCTACAAAGGAAAAACACAAAAGATTAGCAAGGCAAAGGAACAAAACATAAATACAGAAAGCCGAAGAAATAATTACCATCGGCCTCAGCAGGAATGCCCAAATCCGGGCCGTCGGCCTCTTCAAAGGTGGTGGTCATCCTCGGCCAGAGTTGGAGGTCATCCCCCTTATCACCATACACATGGTACCTCAAGAAGCCGAGAGCGGTCATCTTGTATTCAGTAATGTAATCCTTCACGCTCCTCGGCCCCCCTTCCAAGAAAGCCTCCACCTGAGCGTCCAAAATAGAGCTCTTCGGCGGGTCATGCAGATTGAACCTCCCGGTATGGCCGAGGGAGGGAAACTCGGTGCCACTCTCACCCAAGGACACAAAAACAAACTTGCTCTTCCACCCATGAATGGACGAAGGCAAGTCCGTGAAGCTCCTCTTCTTCGGCAGTTGTTGAAGAGTAGCATAGGCCGCACAGTTCTTGTGGCTTCCCCGGCCGATCTGGTACAGATTCATGAATAGGGCCGTTGTCGGCCTGTAGCCCAGCTCCTCACACCGGAGTAAAAAGCCCACCATCAAGGAATAGCTGTTCGGCGTCAACAAAGCCGGAGGAAGCCCTACCATGTCCAGGTACTCGGTGATGAAAGGGTGAAGGGGGAACCTCAACCCCTTAGCGAAACTCATCGGGTATACTCCAAAGTATCCCGGTGGCGGAAGAAGAACATGGTCCGTCGGCCTGGGTGCCCTAACCCGCCCAAACGGCCCCACATACATCTGGGCAACAAGATAGTCGGCCGCACTGCTCTCCGGCTTAATTAAGAAGATGTTGGTGAGATCCAGATAGGAGAGGCCCGGCCCACTCTTCGGCCTCCTCACCCTCTTCGGCTTATCTGCTCCCTTCACGGCAGACACCGGCCTCGGGCAGGGAATGACAGCAGAAGTGGACGCCCCGTCCACCACTCGGGACGCACCTGCGTCCTCACCCCTTGAAGAAGAAGCGGACTCCTCGTCCTCGACTTCGTCGTCCACCAGCTCTTCGGATTTGTAAGGACTCAAATGTTGTATCTCCTCCTCGAACTCCTGGAGCACCTCATAGTCAAGTGACCTCGTGGAGGGCTGGTCGTCGTAAGGGTAGTAGTCCTCGTTCAAGCTCTTCATCACAACACACTACTACGAGCCTAAGGGAAGTAACTTAGGATCTAAGGGTGTTCAAACGCCTAACACTAAATCACTAGCCTAGGAAGCAAAGTATGCACAAAGTACAGAGGATGGCGATGAACACTAACCTTGAACAGCGAAGAACACGAAGAACAGGCTTGGGAGTTTATCTCTCTAGAAAAATGGCCAGCACTTCGACAATTCAGAATGCAAATGTGGTTTCTCGTCGGAGGGGGAGGGGTATTTATAGAACCCCCCACCCAACGGTCACTACACGTGGCACCCTCCCAATGGCCACATCAGCGGTCACCAATGGGAGGCCACCACGTCACCAATGGGCCAAAATCAATATCATCAGCCCACCGGCAAAGCAGACTCTACGGCCTACACACGTGCCGGCTTCACGAGAACCAGCAACCGCCCACAACGTCCTACTTGCTCGCCAAGATCACAAATACCAAACAATGAAGGGGATATCAACGGCTAGGAACGTAACGAACGCCCATAACGGCCACAGAACAAAATGAACAAAGAGCCCACAGCCATCGGCTCCTCGTAATGACCCTTGATGATAACTCTCTACAAGCGATCTGCGCACAAGGGTTCTCCCACAGGGTTACCTTGGCCAGAAAATCGCCATGAGGGTTGGATTCAGGGAGACTACGGAGAGACCGCTTCGGCCAGGGACTCAAGCAGCTCCTTCACCCCTCACACTCTTCGGCCTGAAGCAGTGGGGGACTGGGGGGCTACAGCGGCCTCAACAAAACAAAAAGCAACAATACAAAGAACATGAATGTAACCACAAAGCATGGCCACATCGTCCACGCATCACAATGGCGCCTCGTCGGCCAGAGACACATAACATCATCAACAACGGCCAAAAGGAGTGCGCGAGCACCCTCATCGGCCACCCAAAGGAAAGGACGCCATCGTCCTCAAAGCAAGAAACAACCTCAACGGCCTCATCGGCCCAAACATAAACTTCAACCACCAACATCCAGGAAAGGGAAAGCGTGCCTTCAACGGCCGACATTGAAACAAGACACTCATCATCCTGAAAAGAACACATTAAGGAAACAACGGCCTCCCCGCCCACAGCGAGGAACGGGTAACGGCCAAAGCACAGAACAGGATCACCAAAGAGGAAACAACGCCAACGCCGCAACGGCTAACGGCCCGGGGACACCCGCATCGGCCAAAAGCACTAAAGCACGGGAATCTACTCTTCTTCACTTCGTCTACGTCTCAGCTTAGAGAGTGGGGGACTCCTGATGGAGTATATGGGTCTGAGCCCCCGGACCCACATACTCGGAAGAATAGAAAGCACAAGACAGAGTGGCGCCCTCGTCGACCAAGACGCCCCCGTCGACCGAAAAGGGGCCAACTCAGATTATGGTCCTGAGCCCAAGGAACCCGGGTGCCCTCGTCGGCCGTGCCCTCGTCGGCCACGCCCTCGTCGGCCACGAAGACCTCCCAGAACCGGATTTTACACTTACTCATTTGTACAGCCCATTAGCGGCTTTGTATTCGGCCCAGTAGCGGTCCAGTTGTAAATGGGCCTCCCAAGCCCAAGGCTTGGGAGCCCAGCCCGTATTTTCTCTATAAATACTCCCCTTGGGAGTAGTTATAGGGGTTACAAATTCATTCTATTGAAGCATATTATTGCACTTCTTTCTCTAGCTCTCACTTCTCTCTAGATATACTCTATCACTAGGGTTTGAAAGAAAACGAGTGAACTCGTTTTTAATTTCATTTTATTTTGTATTTTTATTTTGAAATGCATGTTGTTTTGTACCTTTGAGGTATGTTTGATATACTCTATTAGATTTTTAGGACCTTCTGTTATCATAACTAAGTTACAAGTTTTTTCTTAGTGTAATATTAAGTTTGGTACCTTTAAGGCTTCAAGTATTCTATTATGTTCGCCTAGAAATAATACAAAGTTATATTAACAGTAGGGTTGGACAGGATTGGGCAGGAGGGGTTTTGGGTTGCAGGCCCGGTACCAGCCAGGCCCGGGTCAGTCATTTTTTTTTTGAAAATGGCTTTTCGAATTTATTCCCGCCCACCCCCAACCCCCAACCCCCAACCCCCCCCCCCCCCCCCCACCCAAACCACTCAGCCCCACCCACCTAGCCACAAACCAATGCCAAAAAATTAATAAAAAAATTAGTTAGGCCCGGATCGGTCCCGAACCGGCCAGGCTGGTCCACGATTTATGAAGCCCATAGGCCATTGGCCATAGCCCCATTGTTACCCGGTTCAGGCCCCCAGTCCCAGTACCGCCAGGCCAGGTCAGCCCGTCCTGGTCCATCCCTAATTAAACGTGCTGCCTACATTGGGTGACAAGGTGAGCATGCCGAGTAATGAGCACGTTGGCATGCTTCATATATTTTCGAATGCTTGCCTGATCGAAATTACCCAAATTTCTATCACATTCTACATAGTAATAAGTTACACCATTACAGAACACAATAATATTAATTATCACCATCATCATTATAACAACTACAAAAATATTGATAATGATAATGAGGATGAATGATAATGATAATTACTATTATTGTGATAAACAAAACATTAATAATAATAGCAGTATTTGCTAATCAACAAAAGAAATCCGGTAATCCGGTCCCAGTCATTCCGCAAGTAATTTGATGGTCATGAAGATGCTTCAGCCACTTCATGCAAACCCTGGTAGCTTTTGTACTCTCCACAAGTCACACGCGAAAGCTAGCAAACAAGTCTTCGATGGTCACTGACTGAGCGAGTGGTGTAGGATAATGCAGCGAGAAAACATATGATATAGGCACGGACAGCTGCATTGCCCTTTTGTTGATGACACCATCCCAGAAATTCCCCAGCCTTGCTTGGTTAAAGGGGAATGACTCTCTAAGAAAGAAGAAATACTCCCTGGCCAACTTCTCAACCTGGAAGGGCATCAAGATTACTTTTAGTAATCCAGTTGAATATGGCAAAAAAATACTTTTGGTTTTTATTGCACTAAAAACCAAAAGTAGAATTGCTGACTTTTAAATCATTTTAAAAATTAAAAAATACTCCCTCCGTTCTTTTTCCGTTGCAACGGTCAACATTTCACATTTGCCAACGCACGTCTTTGACCGTAATTATATCTTAATTATATTAGTAAAAAAAATTAAAAATCAGATTGTGAATATTTGTAATGAGATGAATTGAACAATATTTTTTAAAAAAAATAATTTTCAGTGTAAAATTATAGCATAAAATGTAGTCAAAGTAGAGCATGTGAATAGTGTAAAATTCAACATGTTGCGATTAAAACAGAACGGAGGATAGTACGTTAGATGAATGGAAAAAGTTAAGTAACTGATGTTTAAATTATGAATGTAGATAGTATTTAAAGATAAACTAAAAGGGTAGAATAAATTAAGGATCATCATCATCATTACCCTAGTGACGTAAAGGCTCCCACCTACGGTGGAATAAGGGGGTCGGATGTACGTAGTCTTACCCATTGTACTAAAGCAGAGAGAGAGACTCTTTAATAAATAATTGGTTGGAAAAGGTGTGCATTTACTCCAAGAATAAAGATACTCCAAAAATAAAGAAGACCATTTGGAAGAAAGGTCATAAATAAAGATAGATCATTATAGTAGCCAAATTAAAGAAACATCTATGCAGCTAAGCTTTGGTCATATCTAGGCAAATCCTCAAAAAACTAGAAATATATTTAATGCTAGAGTCCTGGACTCGCACATGAAGCCAATCATAAGAAGAAGTCAGGCCCTGGCCCCTTCATTTTTGTTCTTTCAGGTTCAGAAGGTACAGAGAGGGGGGGGATTGGATGAGGTGGGAGTCGGGAGGTGCAATAAAATTTCCACCAGTATGCATTCAAGAAGAATTAATGAGGTGGCTAAAGATGAAGTGTAAACGTACCTGAAAATGGGAAAACCGGATATTATTCATGGTGATGATTACTTTGACATTGTACAAGGCATCACTCAGCATCCTGATGGCTAAATATTTGAAAAAATCTTGTAGTATGTTTTTCTGTTCCACCCAATTTTCATTATCAAACTTTGGGAACCACAATAAGCATTTGACATCGTTCCATGGAATGGCACTCTCAGTAGAGCTGGGCAGAATGGTTTGATGTGGATGGGAAAGACCCCAGAGAACTCTAACACCAGTTGGCCATTTCCCAAGAGTAGATTCATCTTTATGAGATGTGGTAGAGATTATAGAGGATGGATTATAATGATAAGCAAGATTTGAAGAAAAGTATAAATCAATGTCATCCAGCACCAAGATGCACCCATCTGAAGACGTGGGAAACAATCGCAAGTGAGACCCATTATCAGCATCTTGATTTTCTGGGAGGCATGGCCTTGATTTGAGTGACAAAGAAGAAGATGGAACCGAATCATGAGAAAAGAAACATGAATGTCCATTTCGGCATCCCTAACATATAAATAAAACATATTAGGTGCATCATAAATGGGAAGCAATAATGAATGAACAATACATTAATCCTAGTACTTTGTCCTCGCTCTGCCAACATATAACCATAGTACAATAGGAAGGATGATGTTTTACCATGAAACAAAAAATAAAACCAATGGAAGAGAAAATGATAATACGCATATGACACATAAAAGGTGTCTATTGTCCCTGAACATGCACTAAACATGCACATTAGTCAGAATATTGAAGTTACTTTGTGGTTTAAAATCTTGTTTAATGTAATTCAGGGAAAGCAACTAAAACATGTGATTATCACGTTGCATTTGAAACTACAAATACCTGTAAAGAAAAGAAAAACTTGCAAATGGGCCTCTTTGATTGTAAAGAATGAGAGAATAAGCACTGGCTTCCCCTGTTGCATAGCCCCTGAATAAAGTATTTACATAGTGAAGCTTCCTTGGTAATATGACCATCACTGTGAACCCCTGAATGCTGATTACCAGATGTATCTTCTGAAGATTGTATTCTCATCTGTTTCACAATGAAGGAATAAGTATTGTCCACGTGTCAATGAGACCATAGATAAAGAACGAAAAACAATACCTCTTTGATTACAGTAGCCAAACTTTTAGCAACTTTATTTTCCAAAAAATCACTGTGAGCCAGAAAGGGAACAGCAGCACACTTCATTATTCCAGGGACTTGTTCAAGGAATTCATCGTCCATAATTAATGCACCAGCATCCTCACACTGTTCAGTCATTAGATGACACGTATGTTGAAAATTGTTTGCATAATAATAAAATGGAAGGCCGTCTGAGTTAACGAGATACTCAGGTCGATAACGATGAAGGGAACCTATGATTTCATCATCTGCAAGAAATAACATGCAAGTTACATTTAAGAAAAATGAAACTTTTGCCATAATAATTTTAAGTATTGAGTAAAGAACCCCTTACATATTTCAGCAACCTGGTGGAGTGCTGGCAAAACAAGATTGTGGGATGTACACCATTCTTCCTCAATTTTAGGAAGCAGAGTTTGTGTTTCATTTGTTCCGGCATGTTCTAAAAGCTCTTGCAACCTCTCAAGACGATACTTATCCTTCATTAAAACCAGAAATGACCAATATTGCAATAATTGTGTTTCCAAATCAAGAAGGATGTGAAATAAAATACATTCTAGTTTACCTTGAAAACAAGTTGCCAAAACAGGAAAGCGCATAAATTTGCCATGCATACCACCTCTTTTTTTCCAGTTAGCCCAGTGCTCTTACAGTCTCCGGTGAAGTAGTTTTCAATGAACTCCATGAACTGCAAAGAAATTATCTCTTTTATGTCTTAACATTAATAGATTAGTTTGAATAGTACAGCAAAATGTTCCCTCTAAAAGTTGAAAAACTAATGATATTACCAAACTATCCTGTCCAAACGGACGAAGAATAGGGTGAGGCTGCATGTCAAGCAATATGCCAAGGATAATGCCTTCACGTAGCATTCCAATAGCCCCAAACTTGAGAATTAATACAGAAGCATCAAATGACAGGGCAAAACTGGAAAGCAATCTTCCATAAAATGTAGGCTCAGGTCGGCTCCTTGAAGATGGATGACGTAATGCACGGATATGAACAAGCAAATCCAAAGCATCATCAACAACACCAGGATGTGGAGGGTCCAGAGCCTTTCGCAACAATACTAAAAGAAAACATGTATATGTAAGTATAGGCTATGAAGATACCTGTCATATACTGAAAATAGAAGCTCAATCTATGTATGGGGTGGCAGCCATGCACAGATAAAAACCAAAGTATAAAATATTACATGTATAGTAGTATAATACCTTTGGGGTCATTGATGGCCTTCGATTCAGCACAGCAGAGAAGCAGTACTTGCTGCCTAAGAGATAACCTTAGTATTGATGGAGGCTCAAAATCTTCAAATTGATTGTAAAACGCTCTTGTTACTAAACGATAAACACGGCCATCACATGTCCGCCCAGTTCTCCCTTGTCGTTGATTAGCCTAGGTTACAAAACATTAGATACTAACACATTGTGGAGAGCATAAAAGCAAATATTGTTCAGACATTACCTGAGACTTTGAAACCCATTCAAGCTCCGCACGGTCTGATTTCCTACTATTGTCCCAAAAAACTTGAAGAGAACGACATGAATCAATTACATATCCCACCTTCGGTATAGTAACTGAAGATTCTGCAATATTAGTAGCCAATATCACCTGTGGCAGAGAAAAGAATCAATGGCACGGAGTAATGCAACAACTCTCCCCGTCAGTTGATGTGGATTTAAATTAAATCAACCATATAAAATACCTCGTCATAAATTGCAGAAATTCACATTATTACCTTCCGGTGTGACTTGCAGATTTTCATAGCCATGAGAGCTTGTTGAACATCAACGCTACGGTGTAAAATGTGAACCTTAAAGAGAAAGTTGAAAGGCTTCAACAACACCCATTGCTGTTCCAGTGAATAATATGTTGGAAGAAAGACCAAAATCCCCTTTTCAATGTCCTCTTCATTTTTATGAATGTGAATAATCAAATCATGTATGAGTTGATGCAGTTCAGGCTTAATTTCAGTGTTTTCTTTGAATGGGCTGGGCCCGGAGCAGTACTTAGATAAATCTTCTGATCCCCTTCCAAGAAGGTTAACAACCTGTCAAGTGAAGTAGTACAGAGAAAACACCAAATATTTTCAAGCAATTCAACATCATTGATTTCATGTAGCAAGAATACATTCATAAAAATGAAAAATAAGTTTATCTAAAGACTGTTGCTGAAATTGAAGACACCCTGCAGTACCTTTTCCAGATATAAAATGTCCCGTTGAAAGATTACATGCTGATCAGTGTTGGGGATAGCTAGCACCTCTACTCTTTCACCTCTACCAAGATCCCTAAAGTAATCCTTATATCTCGCAATGTCAGCGGTAGCAGACATCAACACAATCCTGTATATTAAAGGTGGTTTGAATTACAATGTGTGCAGATAATCATCTTATCACCCATGCGTTCATGATGCAAGCAGCATCAGAACGATTAAATTAAGCTGCCTCCTATGACATCTGTTTCTATAGGATAGACATTGGAAAAGAACAATAAATTTAAGTGCACAAAAGGGAGTTAACCTACCTCAGATCATTGTTTTTTATCAAAAACTGTTTGACACAGACAAGAAGAAGATCAGATTCTACAGATCTTTCATGCACTTCATCAAGGATAATAACTTTGTACTTGAGTGCATTCAAACCCTTTTCTCGCATTTCATCCAGCAGAACTCCAGCAGTTTTGAAGACAACCATCGACCTGTAACAAAAAAGGTGGAGACAGCTACATGATTAAAAAGAAGATGGAAGCGGATATACTGATTACAACAATATAGATAAAGAGATAAGTTTGAGTCATATAATATGGCTAGTGATTGCTATGTCCCACCCGCTTGGTGGTTAGCGATTTGTATTGCTCTTTCAGGGGTGATCATCTTTGAGTCTAGCCGTAGGGTTGATAGTGCTAGTTGGTTAGAGATAGATGTTGTCAGGGTTGGTCTTTTTGAGTTTGTTGTAACGATCCGATTCCTGATGATATTAATATAAGTGGTTTGTTCTGATGATAAAAAAAGGTAAGCAGAACTAATGTAAACGACCACTTGCCATTTGCAGTTCATGGTGTAAGCTAACATTTCCTTATCTTTGATTAGATAACCCAAGCTAACATCTATTCTATATGTATTTGGACGATTAAAGCTCCATGCTTTATATATGAGCAATGTAACAGCATAACAGAATTGAACTACTCATTCCTTAATAAAGAACACTGAACATGTGTTCATAGTCTCACACCTTTCATTCTTTGAAGATATTCATCGTGAAGAGAACATGAACTTTAAAAAATTGAAGAAGATCAACAAGGAAATTAAAAAGGTTCTTCATTATTCTGTATAATGCTTTTGTGAATGACCTTAAGCAGAATAAGGGCAATGATGACTTGCCATTCCGCAGTTCATAGTATGCTATAAACTTCTTCTTTTGATATCTTAATCTTTTAATCTAAGATAACATCTATTGCACATGCATTTGGGAAATTAAGAATCCATATTCTATATGAACAACGCAACAGCAATGAACTCTGATATATTTAAAAAATATAGATCTTAGTATGCTGACATCTTTGAGCTTGCGAACAAATTCATTGTCATTTGTCAATGTAACGAGAAGAGGATACTTTGTCAGTCTTAAAATAGTAAAGTTGTCTCACTATACTACTATAGTACTTTAATAAACATGCAAACAGAAAAGTGAACAAACTGTCTGGTTTCTATTTAAATGTCATTATTTGTTAGCAAAAGAAATGAATTCAAGAAAAATTAATGTCAGCACAGAATATGATTCAGTCACACACATCGGATAGAGACACATTTCAGTACATCAACAACACTACCTTGCAGAATAAACCTTTGAGTGGCCAATGTGATATCCAACCTCTTCCCCTACTTCACAGTTGCGAGACATTGCCACCATTTTTGCCACAGCTACTACCGCAAATCTCCTTGGCTGTGTGCACAGTATGGGACCCATATTCTCGTCTACTAAAAACTGAGGGACTTGTGAGCTTTTCCCTTTTTAATTAAACAAAAAGGAAAGTCATAAATAAACTAATTGTATTATTGATTAGAGACTAGTGAATGTAATAATGAGAAGTCATTAAAAATTCTTTCCCGCATTATGTTTAAGCAATAAATCCATGGAGGAGGGAACCAATGAGAACCAAGAAGCTACACACTAGCATTAAGAAGGATATTCAGTAGTAATAGAGAACATTATTGACGGAACCAATGAACGCTATAGAAGAGGTTTTATTATACTCCAAGCAATCAATCTGCCTTGTATGATGTCCTGGAATTTTAGACAACCAAGTCCAGGAGACTGTGGGAGTCCTGGCATTTGCTTTTACTTTCCAGAAGTGGTTTATTATAGAGATTATGTGAAAAGTGAATACTAGTAAAAGAATAAAAGTTGATAGTGTTTGAAAAGAATAGTGCTTTTAAAATGTAAAAGCTAGAGCGTTTGGTGAAAAAATGCTTTTTGTGTAATAGAAGAAGTGAAAAGGAGTTTTAAGCACTGCTCCACCTACTTCCATCTTTTAGCTTAGCTTTAAACTGCTTAACATTATAGAGATTATGTGAAAAGTGAATACTAGTAAAAGAATAAAAGTTGATAGTGTTTGAAAAGAATAGTGCTTTTAAAATGTAAAAGCTAGAGCGTTTGGTGAAAAAATGCTTTTTGTGTAATAGAAGAAGTGAAAAGGAGTTTTAAGCACTGCTCCACCTACTTCCATCTTTTAGCTTAGCTTTAAACTGCTTAACATTAAGCATAAATACTTGTTTGAAAAGACTGCTTTCAGCTTTTTTCAAGCAAAAAAGACGAAGAGTGCTTTTTAAGCTACTACAGACACTTCCTTAGATGTTGCGCTTACATTGATTCTCAATTCCTAAGATTATTATCTGATCAATTCCTTTCTGAACACATGAAAATAAATATAAGCTTAACCACCTTATCACCTTTGCATATAAATAATGGGCAAGGGTGAGTAATAACTGGATTGTGATATTCCTGATAGTAAGGCAACACTTTTTATTTTGACATGATACAGCTGTTAAAAGTATTACACATGAAAATCTAGTTCTATTTGGAGATAGGACTCTAATTTAGGGACAAAAAGAATTCATAAAACATTGAGAAATCAGGCTTCTTGATTACAATCCCTCATTAAAACTCTTTACCTAAGGATTAGATGATAGTCATTTTCAAACTACAACAACTTGACCTACAAGTCCAACACAGAGTAATATTCTACTCCTTAATAAGAAGTACTTAAATTCATACACAGTCTCATGCTCAAACAATTTGCACAGATATTAACAAGAGCGTGCAGTTAAGTTCAAATTTAGAGGGTTGAAAGCAAAAAAAAAGTAAACAAGGGCGAAAAGCAGGGACAAAACGAGAGGGAAACGGAGTCTCCGCTTAAAGTTACCGCAGCCAGTATCTCCGACAATAAGAGTGACGCGGTTCTCCATGATTTTTCCGACGATTTTATCCCTCATTGCAGTGATAGGTAAAGTGGGAAACGTCGAAGATGATGGAGAATGGGACGCCAGAGGCGAAGCCGCTGAGGACGACATATTCTGTGACTTCAGGGCCTCCGGCTCTTCGTCTCCGGCTTGCTGGGTGAGGAGCAGTTCAGTCTCTCCAAGAAACCCTGCTTTGCTGGGTAAAGTCTAGTAACGTCTCTCGAGAAGAAACCCTGTTTTGCTGGGCTGTTGTCACACTGCACCAGAGAAAAGGCGGTGGCTCCCGCCTGCCGACTTTCATGAGGCCCCCTCCCCTAAAATAAAACGTCTCCCGTGCATATCTACTCCCTCCTTCTCAAGTTGGAACGTTCCGGTTTTACCTACACTATTAAGGAAATAAATTTACCATGGGGTAAGTTTTACTGTTTTAACACTGTTTGACACTGTTTCGACACTGTTTGATATTGTTTTGCACTGTTTGATCTTGTTTTGATGTAGAATAACTTTCCATTTAGGAAAATGAGAACTTTTCAACGGGACATCCAAAAAAGGAAAACAGGAACATTCCAACTGGACGGAGGAGTACTTTTCAGAGAGTAATAATATAAAATAGGTAAATATTCTGATAATTACTCGTATAACTTTATGGGAAATATGGTAACTTATCATGTGTATGATAAAATTGAATAAGGTACCCGGAGTATTAAATGATCTACGTGTATGATCATCCGTGCCCTAAGAATTTAAAACCTGAAAGCTCCAAGAATGTCAATACAGTAAGAATAATAGATTAAACATTAAATTTGTGCCCTAACATTAATGCACATACCATATTGCTCCAAGATAAATGCACATGCCATATATTGCTCAAAAATAAAATACATGTATCACATAATTTCAATTAAAAAGTTACATTTCATTAGGAAAGCTTCCATTTCCATTAGAAATCTGTCTTTATATAAAAAGAGGTGGAAAACCAGCCTCTTTTCCCGCCTAAAACCCAAGGATACGATGGGTCGGGTATATGGGCTAAAGTATCATAACTACAAAGAAGTGATTCGGCCAGATTTTTTGAGACAAAGCATCAAGCATTAAATGTTGGTTTGACTGCTTGCCAAATATAGTGCGAGATTCAAATTAATATTTAAGGTGGTTGGAAGATTTTCTCTAATAAGCCATGTTTTTAATGCGATTGTAAGCCGGTCCATCAGGCTTTTAATTCGACTGAAAGAGCTTTCCTTATTAGTTTACAATTTCAGAGTATGGGTTGGGGTAGTTGGAAGTCTTTCTAAAAATAGGAATGTATTCAATGCAATTTTACTAGGATATCTTAAAAGGTTTATTCAAAAGATTTTCTAGGCAATTTTTATAGGTTTATTCAAAAGATTTTTTGGCCACACAAATAATTTGAACTACGAGCCTTACTCCCCTCCTCATCGATTATTTCTGGGTCAAGCCTTACTCCCCTCCTCACCGATTATAAATAGGCCACTTAAACAGCACACCACACACAACACACTTCACTTCTCACTCACAAATAACAGTTCAAAAATCTCAGTTGAGCAACAATGGTTGACAGCCCTGCAGCCAACGGATTGTGATCATATGTTAGTGACATTGACCACACAAAGACAACATGGGCTGTGAGGATAAGGGTCATAAAGGTCTATGAAGTGGCAGCCCATGTTAGAGGTGGAAGCACTTTAGAGATGGTTTTTCACGACGAAATGGTATTAGATAAATTAACTTTGAATGTTTATATTTAATGATTCCGTTTAAAACAATTGCAATGTTCTAAATAAATTTGTTGGGGTGTAATTTTCAGGGAAATCGCATCCATGCAGTGGTCAAGAGGCCACAACTTGCAATGTTCGTATCCAAAACAAAGGAGGGTCATGTCTATGCGATCAAGAACTTTATTGTGAGAGACAACTACCAGCTGTATAAAACAACTTCACATCTGTATCTACTGGAGTTCGTGACTAAAATGAAAGTTTTTCAGCAGACACATGATTTCCCAAGCTTCCTCTACGACTTTCAACTTTTTGATATGCTGCAAGCCCAAAGACTACTGGATGATAAGCTTCTTATAGGTAAAGACCCTTAATAAATTTTTAGTTATTACATACCATTGACATTGATATTTTTTATATAGATGTTATTGGGAAAGTCATCAGTCGTTGTGCACCACAAAGCCATGTCATCAACAACAAAACAGAAAGGTTGATGGAAGTCACGCTAGAGGACGCTGAGTAAGGAATTGTTTAATATTGGATAAGTAAAACGATAGATGTATTATACTCAGAATGAGATTTTTATCATCGCTTATTAAACCCAACGTTTTTTCAGCGGGAATAGGATTGGTTGCACGTTGTGGAACAACTACATAAAGCAATTTAATGACTATGTGGATAATGCTCAGAATGAGCAGATTTTTATGATTGTCCAGCTATGCAGACCAAAGCCCTATAAAGGTTCAATTATACCACTTTTAACATTGACTTTTTGGCAAAATAGACATGTGTTGACTAATAGTTTTACACGAATGTAGGGAATGTCGTGTCCACATCCTTCGACGTCACAAAGCTGATCATTAACGGGGACAGGATTGAGTTCGAAGATTTCAAAAATCTGTAAGTGGCAAATTGAATTATTAAAACGTTTGGTGTACACAAGTACTTATAGGGGTCATTTGTACTTTGTACAGCTTCAATGAGGATGCTTAGGAAACCGCAACTTTAACATTCCTTGGAACATAGTCACGTGGAAGTAACTATGACATTTTGGGCGGACATGTCACGCTGACCTCAGTGAGCGATTTGCTGGATAAAACCGACGATAAAGCAACTTAATCCCTATTCACACTTTGATTAGTTTTAGTAAATAAAATTAATATATTCAGAAACTACATTAAAACCACTACAAAGGCTGACAAAAAAATGTAAATTTGATAAAAATTTGATTTATAAAGTAAACGATTAAAAATGATTTAAGTTGACCATGCAAATAGCGGACGGGAACCTTCTAATGGGACGGAGGTGGTACTAATTTATAACAAGCTTGCTTAACGGTTTAGCGTTCTTTATTAGTGACGGGTGGATCGACAACCTAATAAAAAATTGTTTTAAACTTTCAAGAAGGAATATACTGGGTGTTGGCAGATATTGTTTCCATTGATAGCTTTCGTGAAGAAAATAGGTTCAGATGTGAAGCATGCAACATCAGTTTGACTGAAGGGGTTTTAAGGTGATGAACAATTAGGTCAATAACTATATTGCTTATATAAAAATTGAGATTCAGTACTCACCTTGGCAGATTTTCTGTTTATTATAATCAGATACAAGGTCAGCGTCTGTGTTATGGATGATATCGGTCATGCTTCATTTACACTTTGGGACCGTGAGTGTACCGATATACTTGGTAAATCAACAGCTAGAGCTGGGAAGAGAGGTGGTGCAGGTCTGTTTGTACTAAGAATTTTAGATGTTTCTCTACATTAAATTTTGACTTTACTAAACAATGATGGTTGTTGGGTTTGAACAAATCAGAAAATCGGTGACCCAACCCACTATACAGAAGAGATAGAGGCATTGATAGATAAAAAAGGGTTGTTCAAGGTCTTAGTGAAGAAGAAGCCAGAAACATGTTCTTACCAAAGCCGTACTTCGTTTGGGGTGCTCTCAATGATCAGGGATCCAGCTATTCTAGCGATGTACAAGAAACAAGTTGAAACAGAAGAAGTTGCTGAGGGACAAGATAAGGAGATGGTAACTTACTTCTAAGAGATTAGGTTTTTAAGTATATATATATATATATATGATGGAGTGTATGGGTCCAGGCCCCAGGACCCACATACTCAGAAGAACAAAAGGCACAGCCGTCACCTAGTAGGATCACCGTCGACCAGATGACCTCCATCGGTCAGGGAGACATCAACTCCAAATATGGTCCAGAGGCCAGGAGGACCGGGTGCCCCCATCGACCGGGTCTCCGTCGGTCATGCCTCCGTCGGCCACGCCCTCGTTGGCCACGGAGAAGTCACAGAACAGGATTTCATACTTAGTCATTTCTACATATCTTGTATTCGGTCCAGTAGCGGTCCAGTTATAGATGGGTCTCCCAAGCCCAAGACTTGGGAGCCCAGCCCACATTTTCTCTATAAATACTCCTTTTGGGAGTAGTTGTAGGGGTTGAAAAAATCATTAATTGAAGCATTTACTGCACTTCTCTCTCTAGCTCTCACTTCTCTCTAAGCAATTACTCTATCATTTGGTGCTTTCATTGAGAGCTAGAACAATCAAGTCCAACCGCAACCTCGTCGGCAAGACCATCCCTGAGACTCAGGAGAACAGGGAACATGAGGAGGAAGCGACGGCCGACAAGGCCACCGGGGGAGATGTCTTCCAGGAAGCCATCGACCTCACAACTGACCTGCGCAACAAGCTCAACGGCGGCGCCCCAGACGCCCGTATCGGCTTGGACAAAAAGTGCGCAGAAAAGGGAGACAATGCCTCGGAGCAAACGGCCTCTCCTATCGTTGACCCTCAGGTTCAGGTCGCACTCTCGGCCATCATCGTCAGCCTGGCCCAAAACCCCATCGTCCTTAGTGCACTCATACCTAGGACTGAGGAGAACACTACACCGCCCCCTCAGCCCCAACCGTTGGCCATCAGGATCAGCAACGATGAAGGGGTGCAGCCTCAGGACATGTCGTCATCCCGCTCTCACCCTGTTTCCCCGCTTCGACCTGGACCGGCCCAGCGTGTGGAAAAGCCTCAGCCTTCAATAGGTTAGGTGACACGCGTTGTCGGCCAGCATCGGAGAGGATGGCGGGACGGATTGGCGAGCGTGAGTCTGGCTCACCAAGGGAAAGCTTGGGGTCCGTGTCCACCAGATCAACACGGCTCACGCAGCCCGTGTGCGTAACTAGCAAGGCGCCTCTGCGGCCGCCAAAGATCCTCGGGATGAGGTCATCGCCCGGCTGGAAAGGAGACTGGTCCAGATGGAGGCCAGGCAATCGGCCAACATCCCTACGGCCAACACGTCCAGAGATCCTAGTTACCACGCATTCATGCATAAGGTCAGCGCTCTAGAAAGGGAGCTGGCCGAGGGGCGAGGTGACCCCATCATCCAGGTCGGGACCCGGACCCCCTTCACTATAAGGGTACTTTCAGCTCTTATTCCCGAGAAGTACCGGAGAAACGCCATCAAGTCCTACGACGGTCGCACCGACCCTCAGGAGCACTTCAGCCGCTATCAGAACAACATGCTGATGGTGAATGCGTCGGATGAATACCTCTGCCGCTGGTTCCTCTCCACTCTTGAGGGGTCAACGTATGAGTGGATCAATGCGCTCCCCGAAGGAAGCATAGACTCCTGGCAGGATCTTGCACAGCGCTTCCTCACACGTTTTACCGGGAGGAAGCGCGCGAATAAATATTTCACCCATCTCTTTTCCGTCAAACAATAACACGACGAATCACTCCGGTCATTCATAGATCGGTGGACGAAGGAGGCCGACGAGGTTGAGGGGTCCGATGAGCGCACCCTCCTCATCCTTTACCAGGGAGCCCTCCGCAGCACCCCATACGTGAGGAGCCTCATCACTGACCCGCGAGGTCATAAACAAAGGCGCGAGGGAATCTGTATGGTGACGCCGACGAGCTCCATAGCCACAAGAAGGAGGGAGGGCACCCCTCCAGGAAGACAAATCCTGCACCTACCCCCGACGCACCCTTGGTCGGTCAGGGCGGACAGAACTGCCATGGGTCTGGCGGACAGATCAAGAAAGATCGCCCGTGGCGGCCAAGGATGGAAAGGCCGGGGACCCCTCTCACGCACTCGGTCAGCACCATCCTCGATTATGCCGAAGAACATGATCTTATTGAACGGGATCCTCGGCTAGCGAAGGAAATCTATGTCGTTCACCAGGGCGGCACCTACTGTCGTTTCAACCGAAACACCTCCCACAACACCGACGACTGCGTCACGCTGAAGAAAGCCATCGAACGCCTGATTTGACAGGGGGAACTCTCCCAATTTGTTAAAGGTGGCCCGCGCAAAAATACGTGGGTAAACACCAGCAAACCTGGGGGAGAACCCTCTACAAGGAAATGGGAAATCGGTAGGCTCAGTGATGACGATGAAGACTTTGAGGAGCCTCCGCCGAAGAAGAACCACATTCACCTCATTGTGGGTGGAAACACTGGGGGGGACTCTGCCACCCAGAGAAAGAAATGGGCTCAGCCCCTATACGTCGGCGAGGTATCTCACGTTCCCCCTCAGTTGAAGAAGCAACGGACGGAGGCGATCACCTTCACCGACAAGGATCTGCCTCCGGGCACCGGATCACACAGGGACGCCCTTGTCATCCGATGTGAGATAAGCAATTCTACCATTCACCGCACTTACATCGATACGGGGAGCTCCGTCAATGTTATGTACCTTGACACCTTCAAACAGCTGAAGTTGGACAGGGCACTGCTTAAGCCGATCCGGACGCTGCTGTCCGGCTTCACCGAGGACTCTATTGACGCCGAGGGCACGATAGTCCTTCCCGTGGAGGTCGGTGACGGCTCCCATCGCACCAAAGTGGACATGGAGTTCATGGTGGTCAACCTTCAATGCGCCCACAACTTGATCTTGGGGCGGCCAACATTGGAAGACTTGGAGGCCATCATCTCCATGAAGCACCTATGCTTGAAGTTCCCTACCAGTGGCAGGATCGGCTACGCCAGGGGAAACCAGAAGATAGCCAGGGCATGCTACCTGAAATTGACAAAGCCGGCTGCAGATACTGGGCAAAGGGTAGACACAATCACCGCCACCGTTGCCAAAGACGAAGAGAGGCCACATGTTGAACCAGACGAAGAAGTCGAGGAGGTCCCCTTAGATGCCTGTCGGCTGGAGCGAGTCTTGAAAATCGGGAAGCAACTCCAACAGGACCAGCGCGAAGGCATTCTCCCAGTCCTGCGGTCGTACGCAATTACCTTTGCTTGGGGGCCGGACGACATGCCAGACATCAGCCGGAAGGTGATCACTCACCGACTGTCAGTCGATCCGGCTTCCACGCCAGTCAAGCAGAAGCGACGCTATCTCTCGGCCGACAGACGAGACTTCGTCAAAGGGGAGGTCACCATGCTCCTCTCCATCGGCCACATAAAGGAGGTGAAGTACCCGACGTGGCTAGCCAACGTCGTCCTCGCCCAAAAGCCACCGACGTTCGGAATGTGCTTTGATTACACTGACCTGAACAAGGTGTGCCTAATGGACCCGTTCCCTCTCCCCAATATTGATCAGTTGGTGGACGAGATGGCGGGATGTGAGTTGATGTCATTCCTTGACGCCTTCCGAGGGTACCACCAGATTTTCATGCACGAAGATGACGCCGAGAAGACGACTTTCATGACCCCAGAGGGAGTCTTCTACTACCTCATCATGGCCTTTGGGCTCAAAAATTCAGGCGCCACATACACCAGAATGGTGGCCAAAATTTTCAGAGCAGTCCTTGGCTGGACGATGGAGGCATACGTCGACGACATGATCGTCAAGAGCAAGCAGTCTGCCACCCATGCTGACGACCTCCGGGAAATTTTTGAAATCATGAAGAAGTTCAACCTTCGCCTGAACCCTAAGAAGTGCGCCTTCGGCGTCCAGGGTGGCAAATTCTTCGGCTATATGGTCACCTGGAGAGGCATTGAAATAAACCTAGAGAACATACAAGCCATTGTCAACATGGAGCCACCGTGCAATGTCAAGGAGGTACAACGACTAACGGGACGGCTGGCGGCCCTGAGCCGTTTTCTCTCCAAATCAGCCGAGAGATCACTCCCTTTCTTCCACATCATGCGTAAAGCCAACAGCTTCAAATGGACGACGGAATGTCAGCAAGAATTTGAGGAGCTGAAGCGCTACCTATCGTCCCCACTCGTGCTTTCCAAGCCCAAAGCCGGTGAAACCCTCTTCTTGTACTTGGGGGTGAGCACGTCGGCCATCAGTTCCAAGCTTATCCGCGAGGAGGAAGGGGCGCATAAGGCAATCTTCTACGTCAGCAAAACGCTGCGGGAGGCCGAACTCAGGTACTGGCCATTTTCCACATAGTGAAAAAGCTAGGGCACTACTTCCAGGACCATACCGTCCACGTCTTGACCCAGCACCCCTCGGTGCACTCATGCGGAGCCCCACCAGTTCCTCAAGGATGGTGAAGTGGGCGATCTTCCTCATCCAATTTCAGATTGAAATCAGGCCAAGGCCATCTATCAAGGGGCAGGCCTTGGCCGACTTCGTCACCGAGTGCACAGCAAGGGAAACGGCTGCTACCATACCCGGGCCAGAGCCAGATGAGATGTGGACCCTATTCACTGATGGGTCGTTGGCCGCAAAAGCATGTGGTGGCGGCGGCGTCCTCATCTCCCCTGAAGGATTCAGAGCTTACTATGCCATCCACTTCAACTTCAGGGTATCCAACAACGAAGCTGAATATGAAGCCCTCCTCAGTGGCCTCAGGCTCGCCGCCGGCCTCAAAGCTCGACACATCAGAATCAGATGCGACTCCAAACTCGTGGTGGGCCAGATCGAGGGCTCATATGAAGAAAAAAAGGGAGGATGAAGCAGTACAAACAGGCAGCAGAGGAGTTGCTAAAGGCATTTGCAACCCATGAGATCACACAGATCCAAAGGGCGGAGAATGCTGAGGCCGACATCCTCTCTAAACTCAGCACGGACACTCCAGAGCACATCTACAGGATAGCCCAGGTCAAGGAGCTAAGCATGTCCAGCATCCATGCCATCCCGGTCATGTGCATCCAGCAACGACCAGAGGACTGGATCACCGACATCATGACTTTCATCACCTCGGGAGAGCTCCACCAGGACGAGGAGAGGGCCAAGCTAGCCAAGCTCAGGGTCTCAAGCTACACCATCGAGGATGGAAAACTCTACAAGAGATCTTACAATGACACTCTCCTCCGATGCCTGCATCATGATGAGGCCGAAGTGGCTATGGAGGAAGTCCACTGTGGCGTCTACTCCTCACACCAGGGCCCTTTTAGCATGTCTCGACGTCTCGGCGTCCAGGGCTATTTCTGGCTGACGATGGCACGGGGTTGCGCGAACCTCGTCAGGAAGTGTACCGCATGTCGGGTACTTCAGAAAGCCCCTGGTCGGCCAGCCGTCAATTACGCCCCTGTCAGCACTGCTATCCAATTTTCAAGATGGGGGATTGACCTGGTCGCCCCCTGCCCAGAACCGCCGGCAACAACCGCTACATCATCGTCGCAGTCGACTACTTCACCAAATGGGTCGAAGCGGAGCCCTCGGCCTCGAGCCACTTATCAATGAAATTATGTTCCCATTTTTGAGAATTCGACGTAAAAGATATTTGGTACTGCGTCGGTCCCCTTAGAGCGAAAGGCTCAGGTGTGGCTGACACATCGCTTCAAACAAGCCTCCCTTAGAGCGAAAGGCTCAAGGAGGACCGACATTGCATGTCACATTGGCCCCCTTAGAGCGAAAGGCTCAGGTATGGCCAACAGAGCACATCGTTTCGACCCTTTAGAGCGAGACGCTCAGGTATGGCCGACGATGTCCCCGGGACGAGGGGACCGCAAACGGCCCGCGTCTTGAAATGGGAAGCTCACTGCGTCATTCACGCGCTGGATCGCAGGACGACAGGTCTGAAATCATGGTCGAGGTGACAAAATCCCCAAACTTGGGGTTGGGAAACGGCAGCCGTTGGATACCAGCCAAAAGCCTAGCCCGCGTCATAAATAGGCGACGGGACCTCCCCGAGATCATGGGACGATCTAATAGGACGTCCCACCGGCCGAAGGACTATCGACCCCTCCGGTCGAGGCCTAAAATAAGGATACTCTTCGCTCAAGGTAGAGGAAGAAAATAAAAAGAGGGATAGCCGAAGGACCGCGCACTCGCCGGCCTCGAGTGAAATCCCCGAAAATCAAAAGAGGGAAAGCCGAAGGACCGTGCACTCGCCGACCTCGAGCAGTAAAAATAAAATCCCCAAAATTGACTAAGTACATATCAGGAAAATATTACGCACTTGGACGAAAGCATTCATATTGAAAAAAAGAGGAGAAGAAACTTGGACAAAATTTCCAAGGTAAACCCTTGTGGCCGACGAGGGCACCAGGTAGCCGGCAAATAACTAAAATGATCATGGGAAACACATTCAGACGACCCAAAGGAAGCAACCACCTAAGTCTGTCCAATACTTAGAGAAATTCCTAAGTATTTGGGGAACATTCCCGAGGGGCACCAAGAGTGTCCGAAAAGGGTACTGAGGCCGAATAAAGGGCCAACAACCCTCATCGTCTACAACGGAATAAAACAAATGTATACTCTAAGGTAAACACTTAAAAGTATTCTCACAAAAATATGGGATTCCAAACATCACAAGGACGAAGAAGACATCTTCCCCTCAGTCGAGCAAAGGGCAAGACCCCCCTCATCGGCCCCAACAAGGTGAAACGAGTACATGATCACTCAACACTTAGCATATTTTCTAAGTATGCAGGGATAACAGGAGAAAGTACACAAACCGGAGGGAAACACTAAGGCGTGCAAAGTTAACCACCTATTATTTCCATTAAAGGAATAGTATGGACGAAGCATGCATGCACAAGTTACCCAAGATCAGACCCTTCATCGGTCGTGACCGGAGAAAACAACTATCTAAGTCTCAGCTAAACACTTAGAAAAATTTCAAAGTGAAACAACAAACCAACACAACAAGAAACGAGGAAAGCATAGTAAACTTCAGAAGCCGAAGGAGCCACATGCATACTTTCATTCACAAGTTCAAAATACAAGGGGGGCTTCATGGACGTTACATTTCAACTAAATAAAACAAGCAGGGTAATGACGTATCATGACCTCGACGGGGCCTTCAGGGTATCTTCACCGCCGGCCCTTTCCTCAGCTTGAAGGGTGGCCGCATTGGCACAACACCGGATGTAGCAGTGTCCTCGAAAATGCTCGGCTCATAAACCCACTCATCACTGACCTGAAATGGTGGCCGAGGTAGACGCCCCGTCCATGGCACGAGAGACCCCGACGTCCTCACCTTCAGTTGACGATGCGGCCTCCTCGTCCTCCTGCTCCCCAGACTTGAAGGAGCTCATATCCTCAATCTCCTCGCAGAACTCTTCGACCACCCCATAATCGAGGGACTTCGCGGAGACCTCGTCGTCATACGGGTAGTACTCTTCGTCCAAAGGCTTCATCGCAACAACTACTAAAGCCCTGTGGGGTTCTATTTTGGATCTAAGTAGGGTTCACTGACTAACACTAGATCAAAGGCCAAGGAAGCAAAATATATAAGAAATGAAGGAAAGAGTGATGAACTGACCTTTGAAGATTCGAAGAAACAGAAGAACACTCGAGCAAGTTTCTCTCTCTAGGAATTTGGGTTGCACTTCGTTAACTCAAAATGCAAGTGGGGGACTTCCTTCGGGAAAGGGGGGTATTTATAGACCTCCCCCCAACGGTCACTACACGTGGCACCCCACCAGTGGCCACTCCAACGGTCACCACTACAAGGCCCAATGAGGTGCCACCGCTTTGTAAACGGGCCAGGCCCACTTCGGGCACATCCAGCCCACTTCAAATGGAGCACCAACGAATCAACCCACGGACAAATGGCATCTACAATGGCCAATACATTCAACGGCCTCACCAGAGCAAACCAATTTCACTTCAATGGCTGCCTGACATTGAACACCACCACGGCATACAAGGCCTCAAAGGGCGCCCACATCGGCCACACGAATCACCAGCAGCATGGCCCCCATAACGGCCACAAAAGCAAAGTAAAAGACAACCTAACAGCCATCGGCCCTCGTAAAAACCCGTTGATGATAACTCTTTGTAAGCGACCTGCGTCCAAGGGTTCTCCCAGAGGGTTACCTGGGTCAGGAAATCGCCAAAGGGTCATATTCAAGGGCAATATGAGGATCCCGTTTCGGTCTGGGTCTTACACTACTCCTTCACCCCTCACTCACTCTTCGGCCTGAAGTAGTGGGGGACTGGGGGACTACAACGGCCTCCAAAATGCAAGCAAGGACAAAACTAAAAATCCAAAAAATAACACAAGTCCACAACTACAGCAATAATATGCCATACATGCACCATAATGGTACACCCCCAGCCGTGACAAAGTCAACGAGCAAAGAAGTATAACTCCTCCCAAAATGTGACGCGTATCGTCCCTTGACGCGCGCCACTCAACGACTTTAAGATCGCATACTCCACTCTCGGCCAAGATGAGAAAACGGGAACACATCGTCGTCCATAAGATTAAAATACGCACTCCTTTTGAGTCAGCGCCGCTATCGTCCTCAAAGATGGACACCAAGCTACGGATATCACCGCTTCGGCCTAAAGCACGAGAACAATCATGAGGCCTCCTCGACCAAGTCACCAAAAGCAGCTACCAATGACCAGAAAGAAGAAACATCACCCGCATTGGTTATTCAAATCAAGAGCACATATCGGCCACTGAGCCAGGACACTCATCGTCCTCAAACAAACAAACTCACCCCATCAGAGGAACATCAGTCTTCTTCGTCCATAGTGAAGAGCATACAACGGCTAACATGAAGAACCAAAACAGGAAATGGCCACAACGGTCAGAAGACATCAAGACTATGGAATCTACTCTCCCTCACTTCGTCTACATCTCAGCTCAGAGAGTGGCGGACTCCTGATGGAATATATGGGTCCAGGCCCCAGGACCCATATACTCGGAAGAACAAAAGGCGCAACCGTCACCTAGTAGGATCACCGTTGGCCAGGTGACCTCCATCGGCCAGGGAGACATCAACTCCAAATATGGTCCAGAGGCCAGGAGGACCGGGTGCCCCCGTCGGCCACGGAGAAGTCACAGAATAAGATTTCATACTTAGTCATTTCTACATATCTTGTATTCGGCCCAGTAGTGGTCCAGTTGTAGATGGGCCTCCCAAGCCCACGCCTTGGGAGCTCAGCCCACATTTTCTCTATAAATACTCCCTTTGGGAGTAGTTGTAGGGGTTGAAAAAATCATTAATTGAAGCATTTACTGCACTTCTCTCTCTAGCTCTCACTTCTCTATAAGCAATTACTCTATCGATGTATGTTATTAAACCTCGATCATCAAACGTATTTAATTATGTGTTCTTTTTTCAGAGTGGTTCAGTGAACAATGTAGAGCAATGTGCAACAAACCAGGAACTTGGAGGAACATCACAGGACAAGGTAAAAAATGTTTTGTTTTATTAGTGATGGATAGTCTACCCGGGGGTATATATCCGAAGGGTTATTACGGGGAATAATTTAGAGAGAAGTTGAGCAGGTAAACGTAGAGAGAGAGAGTGTATTATAAAGGTGGAGCGTTTTCAGCGTGGTTACAAATGAGGAAATGGGGTGCTATTTATAGCAGCAATAAATGCCGGGCAGGGACACGTGTCAAGCGCTCATTGGCCGAGGGGTCACCTCAACTGGCTGGCGCCGGCAGCCGCATGTGGCCGCATTTAATGCGGCTGTTGGATGGGACGTCTGTGCAGAGTACGGTGATCTGTACGCATGTGAGGCGGATATCTTGTCGAGTGAGATGCCTTCGGCTATAGAGCAGTAGCCGAGGGCTCTTCCTCCCGATGGCACCCCTGGTGCCGAGGGCTCACAGTACCGAGGGCTGCTGTTTTCGCCGTTTTTTCCCAGTTTCTTAGTTTGCTTGAGAAACCCGCTCTGTGATAATTTGGAGCCTTCGGCCAGGGGGCCGAAGGCACCCCTGTGCGTTGTGCGGACTGCTTGGTACTCTGGGCGCTGTGATTTGGGCCTGTTGGGCCTGTTGGGCCTTTGATGGAGTAGTAGGAGTCTGTGGGGCGGGGGTTCCCGGGCCATATACTCCATCAGGAGTCCCTCACTCCTTTTGCCGAAAGGTACTTGAGGGAAAAGGAGTAATTTGTGCTTGCCTTTTGATGTTGTCCTGTCGTGATCCCTGAAGTTGGTGAGGAGTTGTTGCTTTTATGTACCTGCCGAAGGCAGTCCCTCAGTTACCCGCATGTCGGGGCTTGAGGGCTTGCTTTGTTGTTTGTTGGAATTTCACAGATTTTGTAATTTAATGATTTTCCCGAAGGTGTCCTCCAGTCCCTCACTCCTTGAGGCACTTGTAAAGTGGTGAAAAGGAGTAAAGTAGTTACGTTGCTGTTGTGGGTCGAAGGCTGACGCTTTTCGTTTCATTTTGGGGGGGTGCCTCGTTAAAAACCTCATTAGGAAAAACCCTTTGGGAAAAAATCCTAATGAGGGAAAAAGAGTGCACCGAATTCCCCCAATGATGAATCGAAAATGTCAAACCTTGGTACAAAGTGGAGAATTACGGGAATGCCGAAGGCTCTCTCCTCTGAGGGCTCCTGTGTTGATTAGCCGAAGGCTTGCTGTTGATGTCCTGGTGGTGCCGAAGGGGAGCCCCTCAATCCAGGGATCGAGGGCCTGCCAGATGAGGGCAGCAGTGAAGCTGTTACCGGGGGGGTCCGCTGTTTGTTGATGGGTTGGTGATGAAGATACCCGAGGGCTCACATTACCTGTGTGCCTTGGGCCATCCGTCAACGAGGCACTCCCCGGGGGCTACCCGGTTTTGCAGTGCTGAGGGGGAAACCCCGAGAGGTGCCCTGATATGCAGCCCTAGGGATCTGAAGGAGTGATCCCGAAGGCATGTGTAATGTGCTGTGTGGGGCACAACCCGGGGGCACTTCTGGGTGAGTACACCCGGAGGCTGTCCTTGATGAAGTGGAGTGAAGCAGAAAGCCCAGGGGCTTCCAAAATATAGCCGTTGGAAATATAGCCGTTGGAATATGTAACGACGGGATATAGCCGTTGGGGGGGGACACGTGGCGTGTGATGGCTGGCTGTCCGTGGGCGGCGTCACCGGTTGGGCGAAGACGCGGTGAGTAATGATGGCGTCCATCCGGAGGCCCGGAACCCAGGCCCAAGCCCGGATTCCAGTGCCTATAAATACCCCAAGGCCGGGCATTCCTCTGTGTGCGAAAAACTTGTTAGCGAAGCTCTGCCAATTTTTCTAGAGAGAGAAACAGCAGCCCCCGGTTGAATCCTCTGTTCTTAAGGTCAGTTCTCGAGTTACCCTTCACCTCTTAGCTACCTGTACTGCGCCCCTAGGCTAGGAGATAGAACATTTAGAAAACACTAGTTGTACGAGCCTTCGAACTAGAGCGCGAATGTCGTCCGAGAGTGATTCTCAAGATATCTCGAGGACGCCCTCGATGGAGGACGAAGGCATCTCTGACGTGGAGTCAAGCAGTGGTCAACCCTCGGATGGTGGTGATGCGGCCCTGGCCCGGGAGGTCCAGAAGGAACTCACTGCGGAGGTTGAAGCCGAGGGCTTCGAGCAGGAGTGCGATGATGAAGACTTAGCCCTCGCCTGGCAGACAGCGGAGGATGAGGCACAGAATGAGAGCTCGAAGGTTACGATTGCTGTCCTCCCCCCTCGGGGTTCCGGGGAGGCCAGTAGCTCGAGGCCGTTGGATCCGATACCTCTGAGGGCGGTTTTCGGTGTGAAGAAGAAGAAGGCCGCTACCAAGAAGAAGGAGAGGGCCGTCGATCAAGGAAAGCCCGTGGACATGCCCGAGGGGTATAGTTGGCCGAACACTGAGGCCCTCGAGATCAGGTCGAAGGCTGACAGGGCAGATCTGTACGTGACTCAGCTGCACGTGGGGCCCTCGCCCGAAGTGGTGGAGCCAGGTCCCGACGACGTGTTGTCCAGGGCGCCCGAGGGGTGTATCGCTATTCACGTCCTTTCGGTTTCCATGGGACTTAGGTTCCCTCTGCACCCATTCCTCCGGGAATATTTGCGGTTTGTTGGCTTGGTCCCCTGCCAACTCACGCCCAACAGCCACTCCTACATTGCGGGGTTCCTTCAGCTCTGCAAGTCCCGAGGGGTGAAGCCCAGCCTGGATCTATTCTTCCAGAGTTTTAATCTGTGCCGGGGGGGCACGAAAACGGCGAGGGGTACGCCAACCTGCAGCAGATTGCCCGCTTCAAACTATTCTCCGATGCTCCTTCTTCCAACAAAGGATGGAGGGAACGTTGGTGCTACGTGAAGTTGGATGAGAGCCCCTTCCCGAGGGAGCTACGTGACCGATTCCGAAGGCACGAAAAGATCCGGAGTGCCGCTTTCGAGAAAGACGGCCTAAAGCTGGCCAAGTTCCCGGAGGGGAAAAACAAGAACGTGGCGATCAAAGACTGCACCCTCGAGGAGGATTTGTACACCCTCGGGTTCCGGAGGTACCGCTTCATAGGGGAGACCGATGAAAAGTACCCTCCCTTCAACAAGGCCTTCGGAGGGGCCGGAGGTAGGAGCCGAAGGCTTTAGAATTTTGTACTTAGTTTTTTTTCTTTTGCTTGGATGTTATCGTCCCTTCGCTTAGACCCGTCGGACTAACCCTTTGTCTCCTCTGTGCAGGTATCCCCGTCTCCATGGTGAATGTAAAGGGCCTTGCCCGTTTGAAGAAACAGGACCCGAAGGGGTCGGGACAGGGCATCCAGAAGCCCGCCACCGCCCTCTTTAAGAAAGCCGAGGGCGATGCCGCTGCCGGCAAGAGGAAGGCAGTGACCAAGGGGTCCCCCCCGGCTACCAAAAAGCCGAAAAAGGGGGATGTCGCCGAGAAGGAGCCCTCGGTCATTATCGCTGATGAGCCCCCCGCCTCCGGGGTGCAGGTGGAGAAGCTGCCGGGTGGAACGCCGGCGGGGGCAGAGGAGTCGCTGCCTGAGATCCTCACAGTCGCGTTCCCGAGAGGTACATCTTTGGCCAGCGGCGCCGTCGACTCAGGGGCCATCCTGAGGGGTATGACCCCTGAGATGGATAGGGCTGCCCTCGGGGCCTATAATGATGCGGCCCTCGAGGACCACATTCTCCGCTCCTCCCTCTCTGTAAGTGTTTACCTGGCTTTCTCCATCTTCTCCTTTTATTATTTTGTGTGACTGCCTTTAACTGTTTTTGTTATTGTTCTGCAGGCTTGCTTAGCCCTCGGCGAACAGGCTCGGAGGCTTCAAGAATGGCGCCTCCACAGAGCGGAGCAAGACGCCAGAATGAGGGAGTGCCTCCTCAAGAACCAAGAGGCGGTGAAGCTGGGGGCCCAGCTAGAAGAGGAGCTCCGGCAGATGAGCTTGAAACTGGAGGCTGCAGAGAAAGGCAAGGATGATGCTGAGGCCGCTGCCAGGAGAGCTGCTAAAGAGGCCGAGGACTCCAAAGCGCTAGCTGTCGCCAAGGCTCAGGAGGAGGCCGTTGAGGCCTTTGTCGCCGAGGGTTGGAGAGCCGAGGGGCGCAAGATGTGGGTGTCCTCGGTCGTGGAGGCCTGCGTTGAAGAATGGGCCGAGGGCCCTGGGTGGGAATGGATGGCCCGGAAGGGCAGAGAGTACTATGAAGCCGGCGAATTCTTCACCCAGGCCCTCATCTACCGGAGGATGGCCCGGCATTTGGGCATTGAGCAAAAGGACTTCTCCCCCTCGGCGTATGGCCTTCCTCCCTTGCAGCCTGATGTCCGTGAGCCGCTCCCGGAAGGTGTTCAGAGGCCCGACCTTGAGGACACGGTGTTGAAGAATGAGGCCGAGGACGACGCTGTCGAGACCGGAGCGGAGGCATCATCGAGGCCGGCTGTAGAGGGCGCCCCAGTGAACGATGCTGTCGTAGTTGTGGAATGACTTTGTACTTAGAAATCTTTGAACATCTTTTGTAATGAACAACATTGTTCCTTCGGCTTCGGCCCGTTTGTAAATTCACACTTACTCTTGTTTTTGATGAAATGCATGCTGCCTCCGGGCTTTTCATATTTGAATACGCCTTATGTTTTGAATGTATGCCTTCTCCTTTGAATGTATGTCTAGGACTTAGAATACTATCTGATTGTAGCTAGCCCTTAGGAGCCTTCGGTAGTTGGGCACCCTCTGCTGGATATGCAACCGATGGCTCGGCAGCAATTAGGACTTAGAAATTTTTTTCTAAGTGTAGCACAGCATGAGGCCTTCGGGCGTTTGTAGTAACCCACCTCCTAGGACTTAGAAAAATCTCTAAGTGTAGATTCCCCCTTGAGAGCCTTCGGGATACGTCGCCCATTCCTGATGTGTGAATGTTGGACCGAGGGCCCAATGCACAGGACTTAGAGATTTTTGCAAGTGTAGTATGCCATGTAGCCTTCGGCTACTGTGGAGCCCCACCTGTAATATTGAATAGGCCGGGGGCTAATTCTTTTAGGACTTAGAAGATTTTCTTGAGTGTTGATTCCTTGTGAACTGTAGCCCTCGATTGATAGGTAGCCTTCGGCAATTAGGTCCCTTGAGATGAGGGTGAAATATGTAGGACTTAGAAAATCTTCTAAGTGTAGAGTTTCCCTCGAGAGCCTTCGGGAGGTGTCATACCTCCATGATGTATGAGTAGCTGACCGGGGGGAAAACATGTAGGACTTAGAAAATATTCTAAGTGTAAAGTCTCCCTTGGGAGCCTTCGGGAGACGACATCCCTTCTTGATATATGAGTAGTTGACCGGGGAAAACATGTAGGACTTAGAAAATATTCTAAGTGTAAAATCCCCCTTGGGAGCCTTCGGTAGATGGCATCCCTCCCTGATGTAAGAGTAGTTGACCGGGGGGGAAATACATGTAGGACTTAGAAAATATTCTAAGTGTAAAATCCCCCTTGGGAGCCTTCGGTAGATGGCATCTCTCCTTGATGTAAGAGTAGTTGACGGGGGGGAAATACATGTAGGACTTAGAAAATATTCTAAGTGTGAATTTTCCCTTGGGTGCCTTCGGGTGATGGGTGCCCTCTGATTCCACATCACTTTGCGAGATGCCCGGGGGCTACTCATTTAGGACAGAATACCCTCTTTTTTTTAAGTGTTGTTGTATTGCATGGCCTTCGGCCACCATATTCCCTTGGCTGTAATATTGATTGGGCCGGGGGCTCCACCTTTAGGACTTAGAATTTTTTCAAGTGCTGCTTCCCTGTGTAGCCTTCGGGTGCCCGGGGGCTGCTCCTTCAGGACTTAGAATTTTTTCTAAGCATAAATTGATGTTGAATCCTGTTGTCGTGAAGAAAGCCAATGAGGAGTGTGTGCCCTCGGCATACACTCTAAAAGTCGTAGAATTTGATCCTTGTCATGGGGAAAGGGCCCTCGGTATTTGTGCATAACGGATGCCTTCGGTGTTTGTTTGAAGTACCGTTTAGTGGACCTTGGACAGTCCAGTCCCTTTGTGTTGTTGAAGCCTTCGGTGTCTTTGTGACCGGAGGTGACCAGGTAGTGGACTTAGCCGTTTCCTGATGATATTTCCTTGAGTAGTATCCTTCGGGAAATAGGAGTCTTCAATTGCCGGAGGTGTTCCCGTGGGGAGCCCTCGGCATGTTGTGATTTTGTTGGAGTGTACTCTTTGATTTCTCGCTGAGTCTACTCCCCTTCACCCCCTCTTTTTTTTTTTTTTTGGTTGGTGGTGAAGGGAAGGCATCAAGAAACTTGGTTTCTTGGTAAGGCTGGGCCTATTAGGAGACCATCAGAATACACCAATGGCTCTCCTCCCTCGGGTTAACCTTCCGAGTGCCGAGGGGATCGAGGGACGTTTCCTGGGCACAAGATATGGTGGTCCGTAACCTGCCTCCCCTTGGGGGATGGCGCGGAAAGCGCCTCATTTTTGAAAGTCGTCCCCTCGGCGCTAGACATAGTCTGTGGCCTGCCACACCCTTGGGGATGTGGCGCGGGGAGCGTTTCGGTTTGGAAGTCGAATCCTGGGCATTTCTCATGCCTGTCATACCCTGGGGGTAGTGACGCGGATAGCGTTCCGTTTTTGAAAGTCGAATCCTGGGCATTTCTCATGCCTGTCATACCCTGGGGGTAGTGACGCGGAAAGCGTTTCAAGGAAGGGTTTTCATTTACACACTAGTTGCAAATGGCCGAGGGCACTACGTGCCGCCGGCACCGATGGTGGCGCCTTCGGTATATGCGTCCTCGTGGGGTACGGCTTTTAGAAACAACACTTGGTGTTAGTTTCGATGTGTAGCCCCCGGTACTTGGTACCGAGGGGTCTCCTGTAGGAACACTTGGTGTTCTCTTTTATCGTAGTTGATGGAGGTGTCTACCCTCGGTACTTGGTACCGAAGGGTCTTCAAATGAAACACTTCGTGTTTTCCAACAAATGTTTGGAAGTTGATAGGAGAGCATATCCCTGGCACTGGGTGCCGAGGGGTCTTCTTTGATGATGTTTGATGATGGAGGTGTACCCTCGGCACTGGGTGCCGAAGGGTCTTCTGTAGGAACACTTGGTGTTCTCATCTTTTCTTTTTTGGTGTTGAAGGTGGGGATGTACCCTCGGCACTGGGTGCCGAAGGGAAATGAATTACATGGCGTTCTTTGTTGTTGGTGATAGGAGTTCCCTCCCTCGATACTTGGTACCGAGGGGCCTTGACTGAAAACACGTGGTGTTTTCACTGATGTTGTGGGTGTTGATGGCGGCCGCCCTCGGCACTTGGTGCCGGAGGGGTTTTTTCTCGTGGTGAGGCCTGGGGCCTGTAGTCAGTATGAGGGCTTGATGTCTTGAATGTACCTTCATTCTTCGAAATTGGAGGCCTCGGGCCATAGGATAGTACATTTACTAATTATGAGGGCTTGGCCGCTCTTACATTATTGATAAAATTTAACTAAATGGTGTACATTCCAGTGCCTAGGGACTTCCTTCCCATTGGGGCGTTTGAGCTTGTAGGTCCCGGGTTTGATGATGGCTGCTATGATGTAGGGGCCTTCGAAATTTGGTGCCATTTTTCCTCCCTCGGTTGGTTGGCTGGCTTCCCTCCTCCGGAGGACATAGTCCCCCACTTGAAATTCTCGGGTGCGAACTTTTGCGTCGATGTAGCCTTTAACTTGCCTTCGGTAGTTTTCTGCCCGGATGAAGGCTTGCTCCCGGCGTTCTGAAATGAGGTGGAGGTCGAGGGCCATGTTGCTGTCGCTGACCTCGGGGTCATATTGGATCACCCTTCGGGTGGGAATGGTGACTTCCGTAGGAGCTTTGGCTTCAAAACCGTAGCAGAGGGAGAAGGGTGTTTCACCTGTTGCTCGCCGAGGGGTGGTGCGATAGGCCCAAAGGATGTTGTGGAGTTCTTCCACCCAGCCACCACCCTCGGCCTCCAGCTTCTTTTTGAGGCCCTCGAGCAAGGTCCGGTTGGCATTCTCTACTTGCCCGTTGCCTTGAGGGTAGGCAATGGAGGAGAATGTGTGTTTGATGCCCCATGCCTCCAGAAGGGCACAGAAGGGGGCTGCCTCAAATTGTGTCCCATTGTCGGAGATGATCTGCTGGGGGACGCCAAACCTTGTGAGGATGTTCTTGAGGACGAAGTGACGGCACTTCGCCTCTGTGATGCTGGCGAGGGGTTCAGCCTCCACCCACTTGGTAAAATAGTCGACGGCCACAATGATGTATCTGTTGTTGGAGGTACCCCTCGGCAGAGGGCCCACAAGGTCTATCCCCCACCGAGAAAATGGGACAGAGGTGCTGATGGGGGCATAGTTGACCGCTGGCCTGCCGGGAGCTTTTTGGAAATGTTGACATGCGGTGCACCTCCGGGCAAGATCAGCACAGTCCCTGGCCATGGTTGGCCAGAAGTAGCCCTGGAGAATGAGCCTTCGGGACATGGAGAAGGGTCCCTGGTGAGCTGAGCAAGTGCCACTGTGTACTTCCTCCATTGCGACCTCGGCTTCATCTGG